CAGGGGAAGGAGATTGTGGGTCTGAGGTGAGGAGTATCAGCAGAGATGGAGAGACTGCAAATTGGGAGTGAGGGACACTGGCAAGGCTGGGGTGGGGGCTGTGGTTTGGGAGTGCAGGGAATAGGCAGTGCCAGGGGGCTGCAGGTTGGGAGTGAGGAGCATCAGCAGGGATGGGGGTGGTTCTGGGTTGGGAGTGAGGGACACCAAAAGGGCTGGTGAGGCTGTGGCTTGGGAGTGAGAGGCAGGGGCAGGGCATGGGCATATCACTACCCCCTGCTCACAACCATATACCCCCACCCCCTACTGATGTCCTCTTTTTTGAAACTGGAAATATGGTCATGCTAGTATAAATGATCAAACATGCCACAGTGCATATTTGCTTGAATTCCCATGGTTTGCCTATAAAAGCTAGTGTGACATTTATGTTGCTGTAACAAAGCACAGGATGTGCAAGCTCCAGTGGGGATTGAGTGTCCTCTGTGAGACTGGTGCACAGATCATAGTGTGAGGCACTGGAGTAACATGGATGTCATCTGAGAGACATGGGACACAGTATAGGGAAGGTTGGAGCCATGTATATAAGTCCTTGAGATCAGGGGAGGTAACTGGGTAGCCTCCTGCCTTATTGACATCTTCTAATTGTTACCAACTAAGGCGTGGTGGGTGAAGCAGGTGGGTGGTTGCCCAGAGACAAGTAGGCGGGCCAATGATCTGACCGGCCCTGGGACACCCACTTGTTACAGTTGCATATTCTTTTCTCTCCATATTACACAATATACTGTGAAAAGGATTATAATTTGTCTCCAGTCCTGATTAATCTTTCCCCATCCAAGGCTGCAATCCTCATCCTACATACCAAGGATTCAGAATGGTGCAACACGTTTGGCTTCAGGGGAATTACTGAATAATTTACATCACTTTAAATTTTGAATCAGACAACAAAAGCCTCAAGGGTGGGATATAACAGGACAAAAACACTGGTTAAATTAAGTTGCAAATATGAGAGTGACCATGCCAAGTGCTACAAACAAGGAAAGGAAAAAAAATCAGTACATAACATACAGACAGGGGAATTAGGAGTGAAAAAAAGAGTCTAGAGTAGAGGAGAAAGGCCTACAGTTAGGTTTAATTCAAATCATAGCTACCTGCTGTTATGCCATTATCGCAAGTTACTACAGAATGGGCACCCACAGCATGGATTTCACATTCCTATATTAACAGTTCTCAGGATTTAATTCATTATTCCCATTTACTCTTATGGAGGATCTAGGGGATGTATGCCAATACATTTAATGAACATTATTTTTGTTACACAGAAAGAAAACTGTAATGTGAAAGGGGAAAAAAAAGGAAAGTTGGGCAAATGCATCTACCGGCTCCATCCTGAATGATAACTGCCGATATATCACAGGATGTCTGTAGCCTACCAGCCTAAACAGTGTGTGGATGCCTGACATTAGAAAAGCAGTGGCTGGCAGGATCGAACAACTGAGACAAATTGAAGATGTGAGACACCCACTGTACAACCATCCTGCAGCACACAAACATGTGAAGTCATGCAGGAGTTCCTCACCAGCACCCAATCTCTTGCTACCACACCCAAGGAGACATGGCTACAGATGTGGAATGAGAGGCTGAAGAAAATACCTGACAGGATATACCCCAACCCTGAAAAAAATAGTCATTACAGTAGCTGAGTCCTTATCTTCAAGGGCTGATAAACCATAGCAAAGGTGGCAATGTCTCAATGCCTATGTATCAGGGTTGGGCGCTCCAAGGAATTAATGCAGTGGGGTTCAACCAACCTGTGACTATGGCACAGAGCCTCAGACAATGCAACACCTGTTCAGTGCCTGCTGCTTGAAGGCACATGTACGTGAAAGGTCTCGCAAAGTATAATAAACGAGCACAAGCTTATATAACAAAATTGTCAAATGTTGTGTAGATGCACAAGAACTTCTGAATAAGAATTAGATCATAAAAATCTGCTTTAAGGAAATAATTCCTATTAAATGTAATGTCTGCTTATCCATCATAATTCACTGGTAAAACTGACACTTATAACTGATCTAGTTTTATCATACTCCAGAGACTAATCTGCATACTTTCTGATATGAATCTGTTCTTAACCACAGACTACATTTTCAGAGATGCAGTACATTGTCCTATATTGTCTTCTATTGAACTTATAGTAGTACTAGAGAGCCTGCGAGGATGCTGACATGTTAGAAGAAACACCCTAATCAATCACAGGGACCAGTGTACTAATCAGATTATATTATATGATCCTGTTTTTTGACGCACTCTGGTTGTGCCAAATAACAACCTGTGCATGAGAGGTTTGTAGGAAATTACTTTGGGAAGGGAAGGAGATTTTGTTTCCAGTATTTACTTTTTAATTTTCTCACACACAAGTCACTAAAGAAAACACTGAAGCAGAGCAGAACATGTCCAGCTACTAACTACCTGTAAAATCGAAGGGTGAGAGACAGGTGTATTTGAGAATAAAAGTGAAACAACATAGAGAAATTCTTCTAGTTCAGCATCGAATTATACTTCTTCAAGGGAAAAAAATGGAAAGAAAAATATTCCAAGGGTTATTCTATCAAAATAACTATTATGCTTTTTCTAATAATTATTGCAGTTTTAGTAATGACATATTTCCTGTAAATCATTTTTGCTATTTTCTCAGGTTTCCACAAAAAACCCCAAATTTGATAAAAATGGAAATTATTTTGCAAATATGTCCATCTCCTCAAATATATATTTTTAATAAAAAATGTGCATCAAAAGAAAATTTTCAGTCAACTCTAGCTTTAATCAGCAGCACAACATTTACATTATGAATGTGTCTCTTTTACTGTGTGTCCACTTTGATCTTTATACTCTATCTGTATCTCCATTTTCCACACACTCAGTATTTATATGGCGTTTTTTCCTGTTTTCATTGATTTGTTAAAATGAGATCCTCTTCTTGTTAGTAAATCTCTATCAAAATTAGGACAATGGTCAGGAATTAGGAATTTAAAAGCTTACCACTTGATTTGCCAAAGGTCCATGCAGATAGGGACAAAGCATTTTTTACTGTTTGTTAAGAATAACACAATGACAAACTGGAAATAACCAGGCTTGCTCAAGTGCTTCAGTATTTTATCATACCTCATACGAAGAACACTAAATCAAATTATAAAAGTAAACTGGCTCAGCTGTTCAGAATAAGTGGATTCCATATAACTTGGGACTGTGGGCAAAAGCTGAATCTCTCTAACTTTTTTTCCACAGTTCAGTCTATTTTGGGGTAATATTAAAATGGTCCTTATGAAGGGAGGTTTTTTTTTTTTTTTTTGCATGTGGAACATATTCGTAGCCTGTATGGAAAAAAGATTGCGATTCTAGCTGCATTGTGCTACAAACCGACAAAATTTACCTGGAACAGACTCTTTTGCAGAATTAGATTGCTTCAATAGCTATGCTCAGTTACAGAAAGGATCCTGTTACAAGCTGAGCCAGAAGTAATTTGGCAGATAAGACCTTTGGTCCTGGTATAGGGCTGTGCATTAACTCCTCTCTGCTGTAAATTTGACCCAGCAGCCCTGGAAAGAATTGCATAATCTTTGCCCAGAAGAAGGGCTTTTGCAAGAAACAGAACACACATGTAAGACAGTGTGACAAAGTGCATATGAAAGGAAGAGAGAGATGCAAATGTAAACCCCACGAAGAAATCTGTGTACATCGTTACTGCAACAAAAAAGCTCACATGGAAAGTATAAATGATACATTTTAGGCCAAATTCTTCAATGAATGATAAGTCATCCAACACACATTATGGCCCATCATCTACTTACAGTAGGAGCCCAGATGAAAGTAGTTGGCTTAAGGTAACTCCAGCCAAATGTCGGGAGTATCCCTGATTGGTAGAAGGAAGAACCCTGGGGAACTGCTTTTATGCTTACTAAACTATGAAGTGATTTTTTAACCTCACAGTCTCATGAAATCCATCTATTGGTCTTGAATATCTAAGTCAAGAATTTCTTGAATTTCTACAGTGGCTTGTAGTGCCCCTTTGCACCTCTGTCTGGTTATACAGCTGTGGCTTTTTTCCTTGCTGATACAGACTGTGATAAAAACCAGAGCACAGTAACAGTGCATCTTGAAATCCTAAGACTTCAGTAAGGCTTGGATTGGTTCAACCTTGACAGTTTCAGTATGTTTAGTTGCAATTCTGGGCTTGATCTGTAGAGCTATAGCCCCAGCCCAGTTATATCCGTTTCTGTTCTTAAACTCTGCTTTGATGTTTAAACTCAGGGTTATCAGTGTCATGATGTGACATGCCCAGGTGGCATAATGCTGACATTTGGAAGCTGACAAGCACACAAAAAGAGACAGGCAGCTTTTCTCCAAGGACAGGAACAGAACCAAAACTACTAACTGTTAGAAATATGACCATATGCGTCGCTGACCTGTCAAGTTAGTGTTGAAATTTGAAATTCTCAACTATAGATATCAAAACATTTTCAACCCTAAGTATAGCTTATTAACAAAAAGAAAAGCAAAAAAAACCCCACATACAATGAGGCATGCACTGGTTTGTGGAGATGATAGTGATCACATCTGGAATATGAGTCAACAATGTGGTAGTATCACAAAAAATAAACTACTGGGATGTAGTGTTGCATGAAAATCACAGGAAGTAATCATTTTGCTTTGTCCAGCACTGGGGAAACTTCAGCTGAAGGACTGAGTCAAGCTTTGGCCAAAAAAGAGGTGGACAAAGTGGAGAGTCCAGAGAAGAACAATAAAAAAGTTGTTTCAAATTGGCAATGAAAAAAATGAGGTATGCAAAATCAATAGGTACTTTTGCAGATCTTGGCCCTCACTATCTGTATGTGCATTTATGCAACGTTCATCACACTTATATCAATCATCATGCTGTGACCTTGTGTGCTATCTCCCTTGGACTTTTCCATGTTTTTCTTTAATGAAAAAAATGCTTTACTCACCTTAGGCTCTGACTTGTTTTACAGATGGTGCTGGAAAAAGGACTGCAGCAATGGTGAACAAAGAATCCCGGCAGGCAGATCATCTTGAATTTTGATCTTTAGCTTTGATGAATGCAATTATTTCACTTTCAAGTGATTTTACTTTTTCTTAAAGGAGTCTAAAGGGCCTTAATATCCACTGCTTGAGAATACGCACATCACTTACTTACTTTTCATTTAAAAAGTGATCAAAAGCAAAATCACATACTGTATCTGAAGGCACAGACTTTGAAATCTGTGATGTTAACTTCGCAACTCAATAATAGGGGAAAAAGTAAACAGCATATAGGATTTCTGGAGCCTACAGTTAATATGAAACTTTTAGTACACAATGCCTACTGTTGAAAGGCTTCACTGCCCTTTGGTGCTGAAGAAAAAGCTTATCCCAGATTAGCCAACTGAATGCTTTTTTTTTCTCTTGCAGATATATTGCACTGGTAAAGAAGAATTTTTCTCTCTCTCTGGAAGTTTTGTAGCATGCCCATGTTATATACAGGATTCAGTTTAGCTTTAGAAAATTTCTCTGTGATCCCAAAAGATATTTTAGTTTGAATGTGTCACATTTTGATAAGGTTGGCTTTTTCATATGTTGTCCTATACATAAAAAGCAAAGACATAAAGCTTCAGTTCATGGCACTATAGAATATTACTGTTTTTTTAAACAGGCATATTGAAGCATTATTTCTTTGTAATGAGAGGATTAAAGCCTATGTTGAAAAGTATAAGTAGTGACTATTAATAAACGCAATTACAATGGCATATATTACACTGATTTTTAGTTTTTGCAGTTAGAGATATCTTCATTCTTGCCTTAAATGCTCCTGAAAGACATAAAATTTCAAGTGTAAATTTAAAGTGGAAACAGCCCTGATTAGACTAAGAGGGCATGAGAACAACTGCAAGTTCCAGGTGTCATTTAGATAACTAAAACACATCAGAGAGATAATGCTGAAAACCATGGGCATGTCTCTGAGCTGCCCTTATGCATTAGGACAGGAAGTAAGAGTGTGCAAAGCTCCTCCATAACTCCCTGCTTTACAAGTATGGATTACAGCAAGGGAAAATGATAATCTTTGTGGGGCTATTCCTGCCTCTCTATCTGTGTAGATGCCTTGGGTGCAGGTAGTCATGCTCTGGGAATGGCTAGAGTCTTGGCTCTGCCCTGCTAATATGCTGCCCAACAGATTATTTAGCTCCTAGAGTAGCAATCAAAGATTATTTCCCCTTTGGGAGTCAGATTTCTCTCCCTGGTCTGCTCCTAGGCCAGCATACCCATGGGTCTCTTTTTGGGATGGCAAATGTCAGAACCTAGTATTGGAGTGATATTGTAGCCATGATAGTCCAGGGAATGTATGAGAGAAGAATATTTTGTAGGATGTTATCTTTACCTAAGGCATGCTTTAAAAAAAAAATAATAAAGTGTCTGTCCTTTATGAAGAACCCACGTACTTAGTATTTGACTGGTAAAAGTGAAAATGTGATATGAAGTAGCACATAGCATCCAGGTTTAACGCTCTGAAGGTTGTGTTGCACTACTAAATTACATTCCCTCTGTGGGCTGGGTTATGACATGAATATTTTTGGGGTTGATATTTTTTATTGGACCAACTGCATGGTTGGGAGAGATTTTAGCTAGGCTTTTGAGCACAAAGTCTTTTCTTCAGGTACCATTTAAAACCTCTCTGAAGAAGAATATGATTTAGTAATGGAAAGTAATCTTCAAGATGTTGAGGTTGGATGATATGTACTACTTCAGATAAGATTTGTATTTTTGCCAGTCAGATAGAAAGTTGTTCATCAAGGACAGAAACATTTTTTTTATTATTATTTTAAAGCACTTCTTAGGCTTTAGCCATTCAAAGAAGGCCCATGGAAATTTCCGAGTTTCAAAGTGGTTACTTACAATAGCCTATGAGTGAAAAAAACAGCCATACAATGACAGTCAACTTGGTTTTCATTTTTGAGCAGGGGAAATCCAGGTAGCTGCTCTAGAAAGCTGAATTTTTCTTTTATGATATAATGTAACATTCATTGAATAGGGATTTATGGTTCAATAATAGTTTACAAGTTTTCAAATGAACTTTTTGGCTTTACCTCAGCATCCATTTGTCAGTTGTCAGGTCTGGAGCACAAACTATATTCCATTAATTTTATCAGTGTGGAAATATGAAAGTCCTATTAGTGACTTTTTAGAGCATGATAGCAATGTTCCAGCAGCTTAATGCAGATTGAAAAAACACAGACCATAAAATGACAGAAAACCTGGAGAGAATCCAACTTAGCTTGAATGTGACATAAAAGTTGTTAATATAGGCAGACTGGGTTGTCAGATCTGTAAAATTTAAATTTTAAGTTACTAATATGATATGAAAGACTCATTTTCTGAGTGACTTTCTAAAGTATCATGTTAATGAATTTTATGTTGTATTATTGTAACAGGGCAGAGGAATGCTGAGGCAGTATTATATAATCGGGAGGTAATATTAGGCACAAGGATGGTGCTACTTTATTTTTCCTGCACCACTGCTTAACTCTTATTGAAGCACAAACGAGAAGCCAGGACTTTTCAGTAATTATTGCACAGAGTTAAAACTCAGGGTCAAAGATCTGCCTGAACCTAGCAGCTCCTTGACCTATCACAGTTAAGCACACCATGGACTAATATGACTTGAATCATGTCCGGCCACCTCTGACTCCCCAGCCTAAATGACCAGGTAGCCATTTACAGCTAGATTAGCTGAGGGCAGCCTTTGGCACAAATCCAGAGCAGCCTTGCCCTTACACCTCCAGAGCTATAACAAAACACCTTTCCCCATTTAAATCTTATAGCTCTTGTATGTCAAGAGAATGCTATACAATCGCTTGGTGAGGCTAATATTTAATGCATAAAGAACTTATTATATATACCAAAACATAGTTCATAGATTTCATAGACATTAGGGCTGGAAGGGACCTCGGAAGATCATCGAGTCCAGCCCCCTGCCCCAGGAGCAGGAAGTCAGCCGGGATCATAGGATCCCAGTAAGAAAAACATCCAGGTTTCTCTTGAAGGTGTTCAAAGTAGGTGCCTGAACCACCTCTGGTGGCAGGCCACTCTAGACCTTGGGTCCTTGGACAGTAAGGAAGGTCTTCCTTATGTCCAGCCTGAAACGGTCTTGCAAGAGTTTATAACCGTTTGACCTTGTAATCCCTTGGAGTGCTCTGGTGAACAAACGTTCCCCCAGGTCCTGGTGAGCACCCCTTATAAATTTATAGGTGGCCATCAGATCACCCCTGAGCCTGTGCTTTTCCAGGCTGAAGAGTCCCATGGCTCTCAACTTGTCATCATAAGGTCCGTTTTCCTGACCTCTGATCATGCATGTGGCTCTCCTCTGCACCCTCTCAAGCTTCTCCACATGCTTTTTGAATTGTGGAGCCCAGAACTGGATGCAGTACTCCAGCTGTGGCATCACCAAGGCCGAGTACAACAGGAGAATGATGTCCTGTGATTAGCTTGAGAAGCATCTATGGACACAAGCCAGTGTTTTGCTCATTTTACTGGCTGCAGCATCACATTGCAGGCTCATGTTCATCTTGTGGTTAATCCTGACAGCACTTGGAATAGTACATTGAGTATTACAGGAAAAGGGAGGAAAAAGAAGGAGGAAACCACTAATCACTCACAGAAAAGAAAGGAGGGTGAAGAACAGGAAAGATTACAAGGTGGGGTAAAGAGCTCTTCCTTCTTCCTGAGATACCCTGATTGTACCCTAGGACACGAATTACTAGGATAGTAAATGGAGTTTTCCCCATGCAAGGCTGAGATTCACTAGAGGCTCTGAGCTTCCATCTTCAGCCACACTCATGTCACTGTTGAGAAATTTGGAAGAACTGGTGACAAATGTTGTCCTAATGAAGGGTTTCCTTTGCAAGCAAAGCTGAAACAGCACTTGCCTAGATCTAATGCAATGGATTAGATATGGGGACAGGGGAAGTGTAGTGAAATAAAGTCAGTCAGACACTGAAGGAAAACATAAAAAAGTAAAAAGAAAGTATTTAAAAAGAAATAAAGAGGAAGTAAATTAAAGAAGGTCTCATGGTGTAGTAAATTGGAATTTGGGATCAGTGTGGGGTGGGGAGGGGGTGGGGGATGCTGATTATGCTTCCTGGGGAGGCTGGGAGGTGGGAGCAGTGAGGGAATGTACTTTTGGGGCAGCTACTGCCCCTGCCCCAGGAAGGAAGCCCCAGCTCATGGGGACCTGATTTGACCCCCCTACCTTGGTCCCCCTCATCACCCCCTAGACCCCACTACTGAACTTGCCCATGCCCTGCAACCTGGCTATCTGGCATGTACCCTGCTCTGGGAAGGTCACACCCCATGGGCAAGAGATGGAGTTAGCTTGGTGCCAGCATCACCCTCAGGGCAGTAGAATTCAGGGGTTGGAAATTTGTCCACACAGAACAGGAGGAGGGGGAGGGGCACTGTATCCTGGGATGCTGGAGGACCACAACCTGGGCAGCTCACATGTGGGAAGTGCCCACGCATTAATGGAACACAAGGTGGGTAACATGGATCAGAGACATCTTCCTGTAACTGTTTCCAGACATGAAAAGATCCAAGAGAGCTCTTCAAAGTGAGTGAAAGGACATCTCAAGCCTCTTGTAATCTTTTATGCTTACTCTCAGAAGCCAATGGGGAGAAAAATTGGGCTTTGCAGCTTAATAACTCACTATGTTTTACAGTTGATTGGGAAAGTTCACTGGCTATGTTAAGGCTGTACCTTTTCAGAGGTAAAAATTCACCTATCTAGTGATTAGCTGTATTGACAACAAAACTGATCACACCAAGTTAAGCTCAAAGTTCTTCTCAGTCCTGGCTGCTGCTTGGATTCCTCCATCCCAGCAGCTTGATCTACACCCTCTCTCTTTCTCTCATGCAAAACACTCTCAACTATCTTTTGTACAGGCAAGGTAAAATTTCCAGCCTCAGATTTTCAGTAGATCCCATCTTTTCCAGTAAGTTCAGCACCTGCTAACAAGGCAAAAAAATTATAGAAACGCTGAGAGCTCTTTAAAATTTCTTGGCTCCTCTTTTCAGCCCTGTGCACATATCATATAGGAATATCTTGATGGATGTGTAGAAAGGTGGGGAGGGAGTTGCAGTTATGGAAGTATAAGAGAGTTAGTGTGTAAGAGAGTCAGTAATCATTGGGAGGCATGAACACATATAGAAGCATAAGAGACTAGTAATTGGGAGGCATGAAGAGAAAGGGGGAGGCAGACGGCTGAATTAAGGAAGAATAACTTGGCTAAAATAGCAGTTGGGATAGATGAACAGAGCAATTAAATGATAATGGCATTATAAATGGAACCATTCACTGACAATTACAATAGTACCTGAGTCCAGGAAGGAGAGTTAATGCAGAGGACCATATGACTTCAGAGAGCAGAGCAGCCAGATGGCAAGGCAGAAAGCATTGAATGTGTGTGGGCAGGTCCCTTAACTCATGTTACCCTTCTGTCCCTGCTGCTGCTCTTCAGCCTTTTTTACCCTTGGGCATTATAGACTGAATCATTTTTCAAATGCTAATTACAGTGACTGCACATTACAAACAAACTCCAAACCTCAGCTAGATTCAGAAAATTATTTGTCACTTTGTTTTGATTGGAAAACCATAATACAAACATGATATTTATATAAAGATGCTTCCCCCCCAGGACAGAACCACTGGTTCCTTGTCGAGCATGAAAAGAGCGTACACATATTTGTACTTGGGCCCATGTCACACCACCAAGTGTGACACAGGCTCTCTGTGGTGGCAGAGCATACTGAGGACATGGAACTGTTTATACCGCTCAAATTAGGGCCAGGTTTGTTTTCAAAGAACAGTGGAGGGTACCCTGGCTCTATATCAATTTCATCTTCTCTTATAATATTGCTAAACATGAGCTGGAAACCAACACTGTAGTATATGCAAAGTTCACTTTACAACGCAATCAGAGAAAATGAACTAGCTGAACCACAGGCAGAGAGAAAAAAAATAGACATTCTAGCCATGGAGTGTAGCCTTCTCATAGCTTGATTGAACTCTGTGAGCCTGCTTCTTCTTATACCAGTTCTGTCTTAGTGCAATTCCAACTATTTCAACGTAGTTAATTCTGAGTTCCAGTGTATTAGTGTCAGAGAGGAGAGAGTCAGGCTGTATAAACTTTTTACCTTCAATTCAATATGAATCTGCTAATCCTCCTTTGGGAATAAGTAGGATGTTGAAAACTCAGAACTTTATGCTGCAGAAGGAATCACCAAAACCGAGCCACTCCCTCTTCACTACTGAATTCCACTGAACGTGCAATGATGAGAAGGAGGGAAATAGTTACAGCTTCTGGATGCATCTACATAAGACTTTTATTGCAGAGCTGTCTAATTAGCTCTGCAGTATAGTCTCAATGTCTACCTGTGTAGCCCTACTATGCCACAGGAAAGTCATTAACTTTGCTACAGGTTAGTACTTGTAAATACAATTACTATCTTATGGCAGAGTTCTGTAGTGCACAGCAATGCACATGTAGATGCTGATGGAACTGGCTGGAGTGTGAGGGTGCTTCAGTGCAGGGGCTGTCTGTCATCTAGCCCCACACTGGAGCACTCTTGTGTCCCCTTCCCTCACAAGAACTTACTGGCCGGACCCAGCAGCTGTCCACGCTGCCAGGCTTTGCTCCTGCCGGCCTGTGTACAGCGCTGCACTGTGGTTGCACACACGCACAGGGTATTTATCAGCAACATTATCAGCCACATCAGCCAAAAAAAGCTGATTGCTGATACTGTCAGTTTTCCATATATCAGTGCTAATCCGATATGGGACCAAGTTATTGGCGCACCTCTAGTTAAAATGCTAGCTTACACTGATGCTGCAGACTGTACTCTGCCTCTCTGGTCAGGACTCAGCCATAACTCTGAGAAAAATAAAATAAAATAAAATAAAAAGTTTTTTCATTCTGCTTTTCCAAAATTCAGTGTGTGACTTATTTGGGGTGTGGGTATGTGAGCAAATATTGCGTGTTTTGATTTTTACAAAAGCAAGTAACAAATTCCCAGCCAACTATAAGATAAAATCTCTTGTTTCCAGTTTTGATATCAAACTTTAATTAAACCTGCCACTGGGATAGAATTAAATATGGCCCACTCTGTCACCTCAAATGAGTTTATTTTGACATTCTAGGAAGGGATAGGTGAGGAGAGAAGCAATATTGTTTTGACATATTGATTTCTTTGAAGATGCTGTTCTAACATTTTGGGATATTATTGGCTAAAGCATCAATGGGGTCGTCAAAATAACATTTATATTATTTTTGTAAGATGTGAGGCAGTATAGTCTTTTGTGCAATCTGGCTTCTCTGCATTCATTCTGGCAGACAAAGAAGCTAGATTCTTTTCAATGGATTGCTCCATTTTCAAAAGATAGGGACAAGACTTTCAAGCGCTGTCCTGCAAACTCTGTAAGGTAGCTTGGCCTTAAGGAATCATAGGCAGCTGTCATAAATTAGAGAAGCTGCTAAAAAGCTTCAGCCTGTCTTAGAGCTCCAAGCAGATCAAAGCTGCTCTGACTTCAGAATCAGGGGGCGCGTCTACACATGCAATTAACACAAACCAATAAACTATGGTGCATATCATGTCAGAGTTTATTGTTCAAACATGCCACATTTGAATGGCTAGGATCACAGCACGCTGAGCTGGGCCAAAGCAGCCCCAGCTGGCAGGGGGCCCCAGGGATCAGTCTTCCAGCTTGGGGCTGCTCCTACCCAGCTCAACATGTTGCACAGGGGCTGGTTGGTCTGGATCCTGGGCTTTGACGACTGGTAAAGCAGTCAACTGGGGCTGGCATAAGGCATCCAGTAATTGTCCTTGTGAAGCTGTTAAGTCTAGAATACATTAACTTAACGTGCATACTTCAGTACCACACTAGTGCACAGTACTTAGCAGGAACATATCAAGGCCATGTGTAGACGAAACATGGAGGTGTGAAGTGTTTGGTAACCTGTACCACAGGTGGTGCCAGTAAGGTGATGGATAAGAGCTCCTTTCCTATTAACCTTACCCTGGACCCCTTCCAGATGCTGGCAGTAGGTAAGGGTCCAGTCCAACTTGACTCTTAAATAAGTGACTGTCTGACAATGTTCAAATGTCCAATCACCAGTCTTGACTTTGATTTCTTTCTTTGCTTGGTTATTTAGGTAGAAGGTTGTTGCAACTGTTTTAGCAAGACTGAGCTGGAGTTGCCATTTAAGGAAGTAGTTGGCAAGGATGTACACATTGAAGAGCAATGGAGAAAGTACTGAGTCTTGTGGGATGCTGTTCCAATCACTTGTAACCGGTAAAAGTGCAATGTCCATTCCTGACCTAGGTTCCCTATTTTAGCCCTCTCCCTTCTTCCTGAAGTACTATATTCTAAAATGGAAGTCACATGATTACATTAATCCATGGCAGAGAGAGCCAGAAAGATAGTTTAATCAGAGTCCAGCCCGTTGACACACAAAGCAACCAAATTACAATTTCCTTGAATTACACAACAGCTTTGGAGAAACTAATCAGTATTAATCTGAGCCCAAAGAAGACATTTCAATATTCCAAAATGCTGGGTGTTTTTGTTCTGCAAAAAAAAAGCACATTTCTTTTGTCTATTTTTCTGATTCAGTGTGAAAATATTTTGTAAAATATCCAAACATCCCACAGGATGGGACCAGGTCGTATTTGAACCAGGAGATACTCAGCTTCTTAGCAGTCATTGTATAGCCCATGAAGATACCAGGGGAGCAAGCTATACATTTTCAGTATTGTTGTATAGCTACTATGCAGTTTGTAGAGGTTTGTGGAATGTATCTGTTGCATTTACACCCAGATTTTTATCAGAAGCAAAACTGAAAAACAATACCAATACTATTTTTTCAGCAAGCCATTCTAAAATAACTTATTTTGTAGACGTTGCGGCATAAACAGATGCTGTGCTGTGATATAAAAAGTTTTAGGGACATTTGTTTGGAATATTTTGCATAACCAGTTCATAGTTAAGTCATTTATGAGTAAGGAAGGCATTGCAAAATGAACTTGTTAAAATCTTTTTATAAAGCCACATCATCACACATGCTTGCTTTCCCTATACATAGGAAGATTTTTTAAATTTTTTGTAATGAGAGAAAACAAATATATGGAAGATTCCATTTCTTTGCCTTCCTCTCCATTTTAGTGTTTTCAGTTTCTCTAGAAGCCAAGTGATCTCCTGAATTTTCATAGCTACACTTCATGGTGGGCAGGGGAAAGGGAACTGTTATAAGAGTAGGCCTAGCTGGAACACGTCTGCTGGCCTCACACCTATATTTCTCCTATAAATCTAGGTCAGTTTGTTAGTCTAAAGTGGCAATTGCTGAGTTGGCTGCTATCCTTGGAAGCCACAATTTCAAATAAAATGAAATGGAGGAGAAAAGAAAATGTTTTTTCTTTTAAAAACAACAACACAAAACCAACTACCGCTACAAAAAACGGAAGGAATTGAGGTGTTAGTAATAAAAATGTGTTCACTTTTCAGCTAGAAGGAGAAGACTCTTTTCAAACAGGAGCTCACATAAAATTAAGTAGGATAGGGTCCTCAAATGCTGTAAGTTATCAGAGCTCTACTGAGTTAATGGAGTTCGGTAGAGATTGGATAAATAGCATCAGGTGAAGATCTGTCTCTGGATGTGCAGCTGCTTTAGACATTTGGCGTATCATTATGCTGTGAATGATAATGGGGTAAGCAAGCCCCTCAAACATAATCATACTTTTCACAGCAAATATTTTAATTAGTTTGTCAGCTCCCTTTGCTAACTCTAAATGTAGCTAAGAACTTTTAATTAAGCTCACAGAAAATGATCCAGATATTATTGGGAATATTCTAGGTAAAGTGATCTGATGAAGAATGTCTTACATTTGAAAGCTAGTCTAACACTATCCCAGTTATGCAGTTGGTCCAATAAAAGACATCACCCTAAGAAAGCCTTGCCTTTAGGTAAAGTGAACACTTCAATAAGTATTGAATTGAATTGCGGTCCTTTTAATTTGTTATAGACTTCAAGTGCAACTATAGCTACATGCTGCCCTTAAGCTGGCTAACAAATTTCTATTGAGGGAATTGATAAAAGGTAATATATGGTCATCAGTTTTGTGTTTAAAGAGGTAAAGTGATTCCTTATTTCACTATGACACTCAGTCTACAATCTGATTAATGGCAGGGTGGAAAGGAATCAATTAAATGAAAAAGGGTTAGTTAAATACATTTGATGAATAGGAATATTAAACTGTTAAAGCAACAAATAAAGAAAATGGATGTTTGAGTTTTACAAACATCTTTGTTTCGAATAGAAATTTAGCAGCTCATGTTGGATTATGGACCTGAAACGAGAACAAAAAATCAAAACAACATCTTGATAAGAGAAGTTAAATGAGAAAAAGATAAAAAATGACATTTTTAAAACATCGTTATTCTCTTAAAGAGTCTCATATTTTTAAAGCTGCTTTTTTTGTGAGCCTTTAATTATACTATGTCTTTCCAAAGCACTTTCCCCCCCAAAAAATTAAGTTTATTCCTTTGAGTGTGGGTTCCTCTTGGTTATAAAACTGCAATCTCCTTTCTAGTGTGTACAACCCAAAACCTTGTAAAGAAACCCAAGAGAAGTTTCACAGAAGAGGAAAACAGCAAATGGTGTTTAATCTTATTATGTTCTACATCTTTTATAAGCTAAGTCTGAAAACAATGTGGAAAATCCTATAACATATTTATGAAACAATAGTCAGCCAACACAGAAGTCTGTTGTGCTATGACAAGTTGTAAAACTGAACAAAATTGTTCCTGATGTAGTATATGGACATTAGGCCATAGAGTTATTTTTAGTTACTTTTAAATGCTCAGCTTACTAGAGAAGGGTGATAAGCAAGCTAACTTTCTATCTTGTATACCAAATCTGCCAAAGAGTGGGTTAGTAACTGTGTGTAGGGCAAGGTCATAGAAGGAAAAATATAACAGAAGCTGAAGCCTGACCTTAGTTGCTACACTTTGATCAGACTCCAGTATAGTCGTGGACCAATGTCGGGGGGGCATGCTCCCCCGGGCACTGGCCTGGATGGGGTGTTGGCAGGGCCCTTCGGAGTTCTTATCACGTGATATGACCAGGGCCAGCCCATCCTATCTGCAAAACCTGTGGCTGCAGGGGGGCCCTGCAGAGCCGGAGGTGGCGGCCACATTTGTTGTGTAGTGTGTCTGCCCGCCCTGTGGATTGGATGTT